GGGGCGTCTGCCCTGTACTTCATTCTGCACGTTTAATGATCTTTTTCATGTTCTAGACTTTAGCCTCTGCAAGCAACGCCAGACTTTCGTACAAATACATTGATTTGGCCCCCGCGCATGTGTGTGAGCCCGAAGGCGTAGACGCATGGAAGATGCTACATTTGCGAAATGTCACGGTTGTGCGCGAACGGGAGTGATGGCTGATACCGAGCAGCCGAACAGCCGAAGAGTCGTGTAGCTCTGTTCGAGATGAGAGGTAGAGGGTGATCTACAAGAGCGGCAAAAAGTTGCCGACTACCAAGCTTGGCAGATCGAATTGATCCCTCTTGATGGAGAAACATGCGGCGCAAGGAATGACGCGACCATCCGAGGCGAGGAGTTTAACGGTCATGGACACGGCCGAGGCTGTATTCTCAAAGGCGTGAAGCGCGAACGACTCCCAGTAGCGCAAGGAAGAGTCAGTGTCGAAGAACTGAGAAAGGGCAAGACATTTCCGTTGGAGGTCAGGACGATGGGATCGAGGCTAGGTGTGGCTAGTGTGGTCGAGTCAGCTCACCTCGTACACATAACGACCTAAAAGACTGTCCCTGGTGCGTTGAGTTAGCATGCAAAACTCCATGCCGACGACGCAAATTTCGCACGTCCTCCTCCAAACGACCGTAGGCGTGCCAGAAAAGCTGATCAGCTTCTCCAACTCCAGTATAGTTCTCTGTATGCTTCGCTCGACGAAGATCTCGTCGTCTTCCGTCAAGGGCATCTGCAACGCGATCAAGCTTGGCCTAAAGATCGCCAGAGCTCGAACAATGCGCAGCACTTCGGACTTCTCGTACCTGTGTGAGATTGGCAACAGACGGAGTAAGTGGTTGAAACATGTAGCACTCCACCTTGCAGGGCTGCTCACCGAGCTGTGATGTGTTTGAGAAGAAAGTGATAGCCTTCGGTGTATGCAAAGGGCTTGCATTTGTCCGAGTAGACGTGCTTGACCCTCTGCCTCCACTCCAAGTCTGGTCCGGTCGCGCTGCGCGTCGGATGGAGGTCTTGAAGCACCTCTTGTGGCTGCATTTGACCAGCTTGCAGGGTGCTTTGCGTTTCAGGTCCTGCAGAAGCGATGGCTCCATGTGCAGCATCGACAGTCCTTGTGTCGTTAGGCGATGGCACTTCGAGGGCTCCGTAGCTTTCTCCCTGCCCTCCAGCTGAAGCGCCGGTAGGAGGCATTACGTGCATCGTCCGAACGGTCCCACTGCGCTCCTCCGAGTAGCCTACCGAAGCAGCATTCTGTGTAACATGTGCTTGCTCACGAGCCCCTGCCCTTTCATAGTCCACCTCTGCATCCCAAGCTGGCTGAGCGCCCATGGTCCTCTCTTGCGTCTGCGCCGGTTCGGAGCCATCCTTACCTTCCCATCTCCAACCTCCAGCCCCCTGGCTGCCCATATGCAAGTGCGGCAAGTTTGCCACTCTGCCACCCAGAGCGCCGAATCCTCGTGCTGGCTGCCAGGACTCGGCAATCTGTTGATGCTGAAATGGCTGGCTGAGCAGACCCTCGGAAGGCCACGTGCTGGCGGTCACCATGCTCATGCCACCACCAGCAGACGCAGTAGGTGTGCCGGGGTGCGCCCCACCGGTGGCCGCACCTCCGCTGCCATGACTTCCTGGGTCTGTGTCCGGCGTAGCACCGCCAAGCAGGTGTGGGTCGATGCCGTGCAGCATGCTGCTGAGGAAGGAGTACTCCAGCGAAGTAGCTTCCGAACCAAATTCGGACGGACCATGATAGACTGCCGAGTCTGCGCGCGCTCCTGGCTCTGAAGAGCCCAGAGCGGAAGGTTGACCTTGTCGATCGGCCTCCTCAAGCTCAAGAGGAATGTTCATGTTCGAGTCTGTAGCCTGAATTCCTCCTCTGTCTATGCCAAAAGAAGCCGCCTGCATCGCAGGGGAGAACGCCGACACTGTGCCAAAGAAGTCCGGGGGAGCCGAAGAGGTCCCCAGGCTACCAGAAGGCGCACCTGCACCATCAAAAAGCGCCGGTTGCAAGACATTCATCATAGAAGCTGGAGAACATCGCAACGCAGCAAAGCGTATCAGTATCGACAGCGGGGTACTGCATGGGCCCATGGCTAGCGCGAAGATGCTCACCTTCCTCGGGCCACTGCGGCAGCTGTTGGTCTTGCGATGTTTGCGCAGTCTCCTCTAGCTTGGTCTCTGCCACCCCGGCTGTGCTTTCGTCCGCTTGACTAAATTCTGCTGGATCTGACGAAGCAGAAGCGCGACCTTGGCCTATCTCGATCTGCTTGGCGCGCTTTTTCGCTTCCTTCTCCCTTTTCAGCTCCACTGTGGTACATGCACAATGACAGGCAGCGAGTGTCAGTAAGCGAGGGCAGGCTTGGAAAGCTCGCGCGTCTATTGATGCAGCATTCATGACTCCTCTTGCTGGGACACTGCTATGACAAACGCATTCTAAACATGGGCTGCTAGGACCACTCACACAGCTCATCGTCATCCAGCAGATACTTTGCCTTCTTGCGCGCGCCATCGGTGCAAGTATCCGCTATGCCCTTCTTGACGCATCTCTGGCAAGGTCTGGAATCGTCGCAGGT